GAAGGAAAGATAGATGGGCGGATAGAAGTGACAAGAAGACGAGGAAGAAGACGTAAGAAGATGCTGGATGACCTTGGGGACAGAAGAGGATACTGTCATTTGAAGGAGAAAGCTCTAGATCGCATTAAGTGGAGGAATTGTTTTGAAAGAGACTGTGGACCTGTCGTCTTGACAGATTACTGATGATGATGATGATCCCATCATTTGCAATACCAATGGAGGAAAACAACAATTCTAGTCACTAAAGCCAGATTCTGAACTGAATATGAACCAGAGGAGATGCCCTCTGACAGTCATTTGATAAGATCTCTGTGAGCATCATCCATGGTGTGAACATTCATGACCGCTTAGACACTGGGACAACAAGTTTGGTTTCAGGACAGATCATGGATCTTCCATGTTTTTCCTTTTTTTGTCTTTCATGGTGGTCAGATTTGTTTGTGAATCATTGTCCAGTCAGACAGGAATTCAGCTGCTTCAGTGCAGGGACTAAGAGAATTGTATTTTATCTCTAATGTGGGCCCATGTGCAGAAGAACAGTTCTGAAACACCTAGTTAATTCATGTTCCTAACAGCTTGTCTGGTCTGTTGGATATGAAGACAAGCTGTGTAGTTTAAGCATAAACATGACTCAAAGCAAAATATGAAGAGTTTTTATTGAAAGGAGAAAATATTTTTATTTTATATATCTGGTCTGGTTGGACTGGTATATTCACTGTTGTCTGTGGAATGCTTCTTATACATGTAGTGATTTCTAAGCTCTTGACAGTTGAAGAAGTGGATGCTCATTTGGTTTGTAGCATCGTCTAGAAGAGGTGAAATGTCACGTTCATAACTTGTCAAGCATATCTGAAATTTATCATGTTTTCCTCAGGGGATGCATGCATGCTGGTCTGAATATTAGCTAACATTGTGGTCCACATGATACTGCAGTCTTGAAACAGGGTTAAAGTTGAATATGCCATATTACTACTACTCAGTCATTTCATATTTCATTACTTCTTCCCATGTCCACTATCTCCAAAGCCTTGTACATGGAGTTAAGTTGTTAAACTGATCACTTTACGAAGCTGAGTAGAATGTGAGTCAGATATTATGAAGTAGGTTCTAAAGGGTTCTAATGATGGTGTAAAGGGCAAGGATACACCAAGGAAACTGGGAACTGCAATTTCTGAGGAATCTTATCAGGCTGAGGTGAGTACATGTCACTGAATACAGCCATTCCCTCAATTTGCACTGCTCCTTTCAGTAACATGTGTTCAAACAGGCTGATAACAGTTCTCGGAAACTGTGGTTGCACTTTACTTGGTGTGCTCTCACCCTAATACTCAGAATTGCTGAGTTTTTGGACTTTGTTCATCACATAGTATTCTAGAAACCAGAAAACACGTTTTGGAAACTGGACCTCTTTCCGTCCTTAGGATGAAAACCCAGCAATTCTGAGGTATTATTAAGTTTGATATAATTAATCTTTATTCGCTTTTCTGTGTGTAGAGTAATACACAACCAAAGGCTGTGCCCATCCACACATCTGTATCAATATCAAATGTAACTGCAGTTCCAAAGAAGAAGAAGAAATGGAAAGATGTTGAGGCAAGAAAGCCATCTGTGACCTTCAAAGATTTTGGGGGAAGTTCGAAAGTTATACAGGTTAGTGTTTTATATTCAAAGTAGCCAAAAAGTTTTTTAACCTAAAAGTTTTCTCTCATATTGACAAGAATGTTCGGATTTAAACCTGCCACTCAATTTATGGAACGGTATCATAGTGACTTGTGGACTGAACATGGAGAATCACATTTTGAAGAATTTTTATAAATTCTGTAAGTAATAAAGAAATTTCTAATGTACGTAGGTAAGTCAATAAGTAAGTTACAAATGGATATAGAACTTAAACAAGTAAGAGTACTGATTTCAAGAATGCTTTTATTTCCCAACATAATCTCCCTGTACATTGAGGCACTTGTCCCATCGTTTCACAAGCCCTTGAAAACCAGCAGCATAAAATTCTTTGGGCTGCTGTTGGAACCAGGCGGTGACTTCCCTTTATACAGCTTCATTGTCGGGAAAATGTTCAGCCGAAAGATTATTAAGAGGGCTGAACAAATGGAAGTCGCTTGGGGCAAGGTCAGGGCTATATGGAAGATGCTCAAGGACTTCCCACTTGAAATTTCGCAGCGTCTCATTTATCTTGTTGGAAGTATGGGGATGCGCGTTGTCATGCAAGATCAACATGCCTTTGGTGAGGAGTCCTGGTCGCTTCCGTTGAATGGCTGTATGAAGTTTCCAAGCGACTTCCATTTGTTTGGCCCTCTTAAACATCATCTTTTGGCTGAACATTTTCCCGATGATGAAGCTGTAGAAAGGGAAGTCACCGCCTGGTTCCGACAGGAGCCCAATCAGTTTTATGCTGCTGGTTTTCAGGGGCTTGTGAAACGATGGAACAAGTGCCTCAGTGTACAGGGAGATTATGTTGAGAAATAAAAGCATTTTTTAAATCAGTACTCTTATTTGTTTAAGTTCTATATCCATTTGTAACTTACTTATTGACTTACCCTCGTATTTTAATGTACATTTTACTAACCAGTTAACTGACTTTTAGGTCACTCTTGCTTCCATATATTTGATTTCAGATATTTAGGAAAATGGAGGAAATTGTTTATTTCATTTTCCAGTGGCAATATCATTCCATCTTTTACATAATGATGAGCTGTGATATTCATATTGTGGCGCATAGTCCCATTGCTGAGTGACTGTTGCTAGGTAACACACACAGCAATGGAAGAAAGGCGTATTATTTGTGGTCTGTGTTGCGTCTGTTGCTATGCAAGGACACAGTAAACACACCTTTGCAACAATAGAGGGGTTGTGTTTTCGGCATTGTCTGTGCCGAGGAGTTATCTTGAAGACAATTGGCACTAAAGTTCAATTGCGGGATGTTCGCTGGAGTGTAATGATATGGGCACAGAAGCTACAGAACCTTCACTGTTAAGATTCATTACCAGGAAATGACTAGTGAAAACATTGCAGAAGAATAGCTGTTACCAAGAAACCACTAGTTGAAAGCAGACTGAGAAGACAGCATGGAGTGACTTGTGATGTCCGCAATAGTGTTAGAGTTATTTGTAGTTATGTCATGTAAGTGGTCAGTGAATCTATTCACCAATTGAAAACCTGTCTGTAGTCACTAATACATGTGACAATATTCAAGTAAGGCTGTGTACCATAGACTCCATTAGGTAGGTGGTTTGTTAAAAGCGTCTTGTATTGCATTGAATTAAGATGGGGTCCTTAGAAGCCTAGTATTTTTTATGGGTTATTTTATGATGCTGTTTGTAGCTATACTGTATAATTTCAAATGGTAAGATGATTAATGAGTGATGAATCGGACATGATGTGGAAGTAAGTAGTGATGGCCTAATTGATTGACTATTGCTGGATTTGTGTGGAGCAACTGAGGAAAACCAAGAAGAGCCTCAGTTGTGATAGCAGGTGTTCTGGCTGAGATTTGAACCAAGTACCTCCTGAGTATGAGTCTAGAGTGTCTTTGTTATGCAAGCCCATTCAGTGCTTTGTATTTATTTACATTTTAGAGTGGAAGTCATGGTATTTTAATATAAGATGCATATTCTTTCCTGCAGGAAGTGTGTAAATTGCTGATACATGTCCGGCACCCAGAAGTGTACAAACAAATAGGGGTGACACCACCCAGGGGGTTTCTGCTCCATGGGCCACCCGGATGTGGAAAAACTTTGCTAGCCCATGCCATTGCTGGGGTAAGTTGTCCCATAAATGAAGATATCTTGAAAGTTATGCTCACAATACTGAAAGAATGATCAGGTATTTATTTTGTTCAGAAAACTTGTATAAATGTAAATGCTTTGTACTGGCAGCATGAATGAGGGATGCTTTATGAGAAACAACTCCGGCTGTCCATCTGCTGGTTTGGATCGGTTCTGTTAAAGAAAATGTTAGTGCCATTTAGTAGTTAGAATTTCATTGAGAGTTTCTGTGCTGTCAATGTTGGGGTCAAGAACATTTAAGAGCTCTCTTGACGTTGTGAGACGTGAAGTTCTCAAGGCAGTAACTGTGGAGGGTACCGTGTCATGGGATGGTACACAGTTTAGTTAGTTAGTTAGTTAGTTAGTTAGTTATTGGAGAGGGTCGGTTTCCCCATGCACTTAGACTTATATTGGTCCATTGTGCTTCCCTCTATGATTTCTACCAGTCTCTATATCCTACCGATACTGGTGCTTACCATCAGTCCCGCCCAGCCAGCGAGATCGGCTCTACTAGCTGAGAGGTATCTATAATGCTTCCCTCATCAACCAGAGGTATTAGAGACTGCTGTTGGGCGGGAAACGTCTGTAATTTGGCTCAGTGACCTCCTTTGGAGATATGAGGTTCTTTTATGTGCCGTAAAGCTACAACACGGGACCCACGGCTTAAAGTCCCTCCCGGAAGACTTGTTCCCTGAATTTTTCCGCCCTTAAAAATTTGATGACCTCCGCCGGGTATTTGAACCTGCATACTACGAGTCATGAGGTGGGAACGTTACCTCTAGACTACGGAGGCCGCTTATGTTACACAGTTTAGTGTGATATAAGTTTACAAATACGAGTATTTTGGAGAAATATGGTGCCTCAGTCTTCAGGTTCAAGGAGTGAACCAAGCAAGGGGAGTAAGCCAAGTATGGGAAGTAAGTCTTGTGATGCAGTACATTGTATGTTCCAGGAACTAGATGTACCATTGGTGAATGTGGCAGGACCAGAACTGATAGCTGGTGTGTCCGGGGAATCAGAAGAAAGAATTCGTGATCTGTTTGATCAAGCTGCAGAGATTGCCCCCTGTATTTTATTCTTGGATGAGGTGGATGCGCTTGCACCAAATCGACTTACAGCGCAGAGAGAAATGGAGAGGAGAGTTGTTGCACAGCTTCTTTCTTGTCTTGATGGTAGGTTCTGATGTCATAGGTCAGTATTTTTCAGCTTCTGGATGTATATGGATTGTATGAAACACTGCTGAGACTTGTACTCACGTACAGGAGCAAGAGTTGGCTGTTAAACTGGGTGTAATGAGGAGAGTTTGAGAGGTCTTTGAAAGGAAGGTGCTTCGAAGGATATTGGGCCCAGTGTGTGAGAATGGATTCTGGTGTATAACATACAACAGTGAATTATATGAACTACGAGTACTTTCTGAACTAGATATTGTTAAAAGTGCAAAAATTTGGAGATTACTATGGGCAGGCCATCTTACCCAAATGTTGGATGATAATTCCATTAGAAAACTCACCCTCCTAAAACCAGTTGGGTGTAGAAGAGTTGGAAGACCAAAACTGAGATGGATGGATGGATGGATGGATGGATGGATGGATGGATGGAGTAGAGGGCTTTGAACAGGAAGGAATAGAAAAATGTCTGGAAGAGGCCAAGAGAGACATTAACAGTTGTACCAGTAAATGTATATGGAGTTGTGTCTGAAAATTGTGAGAGTTACAAGAGTTAAACGATGAGTTTGCTCTTATCATTTAAACTTGATAACCTCTTTGAATTTTAAGAAGCAGTGTGTGCAGCAAATTTTTTGTAATATGTTGCAGTTCAGAGTAAGACAGTATGAGGAAAGACAGAAGTTATTTGTGTAATACAGGTGTTCAGTTTTTTCCTTTTAAATTTCAGAGCTGGGCCGAAAAGAAGATGGTGATCATGTTGTGGTGATTGGCGCTACAAATCGTCCAGACTCATTAGACCCTGCACTGCGCCGTGCAGGTCGATTTGACCGTGAAGTGTGTCTTGGAATACCAAACAAGGACGCACGAATTCAGATTCTGCAGATTCTATGCAGCAAGTTAAAGCTTGCTCCAGATTTTAGCTATGAGTATGTAGCGTTGAACACCCCAGGGTTTGTCGGGGCTGACCTAATGGCGTTGACGCGGGAAGCTTCTATGGTAGCAGTTACCAGGTTTGTGTATCGTGGCTCTGTTACTGTGATTTTGTTGTTGGAGTACTGTTATTACAGTATTATTAATTTTGAAGAAAGCAGTCTTCTGGGATGTGGCACTGTGTAGATGTGGTGTTAACTGACGTTTTGGAGGAATGTATCGCCTCCATCTTCAGGGTAGAAGAAAAAACAAAATCCGCAAGGGAAGAAACAGTGAGAGCAGGTGCAAGTAGACTAATGTCAGCTATATGAGAGCAGGAAAGAAAGGGACATGTCTACATGGGAAATCAGTGGAGAGGGAGAAGGGAAGGGTCTGGGACAGGAGCAAGGTTAGAGCAGGTATAGGATATTTTGTCGGGGAAGAAAGGCAAGGTTAATGGGAGGGCATTAACCCTTAAGCTGGGGTGTTGCTATGTGAGTTGGTCATGGACTGTGTGGCCTTGTGGATCTGGCATCATGTCCCGAGGGGTGTTTAGGGAACAGATGAGAGACTTCCATGACTTGCTGAGATGAAAGCCCCCCTCTCTGTTCATATTGTCGGGATGGAGTTCAATCTCAATGGCTTCCCTAATGATGCGATCCATATAGCGGGTCTTGGTGGCGAGGATGGAGGTATTCTGAAGCTGAATGCGGTGTCCCTAATCAGTGCTGTGTTCAGGTACAGCTGACTTGTCCAGATGTTTGAGACGGATGTGCCCTGAAGTTGGAGGTGATACGTTCCTCCAAAACATCGGTTAACACCGCATCTACATGGTGCCACATCCCAGAAGACTGCTTTCTTCATAGTCACTGCCGTGAAAACCTCAAATCTTACAGAATTAATTTTGTTTATTTCTTCTACTTCCAAAATTAGGAACAGGCCTTTATTATATGTTTTAAATGCGTTTGTCATTAATATTGTTGTAAGGAACATCTTTGTGGTGCATCATGAAGGAAAGTCTGATAGGAATTAAAATTCAGATTAACACATTTACTCCCCTGTTCCCATACAGGGAGCATATCTCCTGGTCTAGCTACTTCTCCATGAAAACTCTATTTTGAACATCTTACATTTGCAATGGGAATGAAATAGAATAAGTGAACAATGTTTGATAGTGGCTGTATATTTTGGTTCATGCTTTCACAGGCTAGAGTTAAAATTTACTTGCATCTTTATTTGAATGATGTACATAGAGGAAAACGGCATTTGCATTTACAGTGGTAACAGACCATCTCTTTCTGGGATCATCTCTGGCATTCTGTGTGTTAATTTTGTGAGTTTATGTAACATCTGTATACCAGGCACTAAAAAGGTTAATGTTTTACAGTGTTTTTCATATTTTTCTGTCTGCCTGAATATTATCTATGTTCTGTGATATTGGGAGTTATCCATCACTACACAGCATCATGTCTCAGGAGATTGTGATCTTAACAGTCATTCTTTAGAACTTAAGATCTTGATGTGTGAAATTTGGGTAGTGACAGGTTATAAACATGTCTGTTAGTAGTATGAAACCTGCAAGTCATAATCCTTTGGAGCCATAAGATGTGCCAAACTACTGGTGAATATGCTTAATACTTTTTTAATTGTTATACTTTTTAATACTACTGTCTCTGTGGTCTAGTGGTCAGAGCTCCTGGCTACAGGTCCTGAGGTCCTGGGTTCGATTCATGGCGCTATCAGATTTTCTGAGAAGTAGTGGGTTTGGAACAGGGTCTGCTCAGCCTCATGAGGATAACTGAGGAGCTATTTCAAGGAAATAGCAGCTCCGGTCTAGAAACCGAAATTAAAAGCTGTGGGATCCATTGCGCTAACCATGCAACACCCTCTGTCCGCTAAAGTTGGCACTACCTTCACTGACAATCGGCGGTCTCTCAGTCGGTATAGTTTGCTTGCAGACTCAAGCCACAGACTTTGTTTTTGTTTGTTTTGTTTATACTTTTTAATGCAGTCCTTTTTTGTTTTAGAGTACTTGTCAATTTGAAGAAATCTACTGATAAACCTGCAAATACACCAGAAAATGAAAAGGCTGTAGTAGTTGATATTATAGAAGAGCCACCTGGCAGTGCTGAAAAGTCACCAAATGAGGAGTCTTCAAGCAAGGAAGCTTCAAGTTTAAATGAAAAGACAGAGGAAGCAACAGAAAATGTTATAAATAATAAATCTTACAGTTGTAAAAATAATGAGTTGCTTGATCTAATAGCTTGGTTGCATGACACTCAATGTCCATTGTCGGATCAACAGTTGGATGAACTTCGCGTTGAGTTAGATGATTTCAAACAGGCTCTTAAGTGTGTCCAGCCTTCAGCAAAAAGAGAAGGTTTTGCAACAGTACCTGATGTTACTTGGGATGATGTTGGTTCGTTGAGAAATGTTCGTGAAGAACTACAAATGATAATATTGGTGAGTAAAGTACAAGGGATGTTCAGTAGGTAAGGTTTCCTAGCCTGTAACAGTTAATGTTAATCAAGTGTTTTGTTCTATGGTGCATGGTAGTACTTAGTAGGGGTAAGACGCAACAAACAGCAACATCTTGGAAGTTACCGGTTCTGCAATAATTAAGAAGTGGTAATGGCTGTTGGCGAAAGGTGAATGCACGATATATACCAAGATGGAATTTTTAGACTTGTGCCAAAACAAGGTAGATGAGTGAATGTGCTCTGCCCAGGGATGACTGACAAACTTTATGTAACGGTCTTTGAGAAACCAGTATTCACTCAGCTACCCGAGAGTTTCCCAAACATTTTAGGGAATTTGAAATTTCACTACCGTGTTCAGAAGATCCTGCCACTGGTTCCTGTCCTGAACCAGATAACTCCAGCCCATGCCACTCCATCATATTCTAGGAAATCTGTGTTAATATTATCCCTCTGCTTTGGAATTATGTTGATAAATAACGTTATTTCAAAGAAATGAGTTACATTTAACGTTTGTAATGATTTCTCATTTACTTTGCATGACTTAGGGAACGTTACTCGTTGAATATATTTCATTCTCTGTCACATGGGAACCATTTGCATAATTACAGAACTGTCTTGATTGACAGATATTTATCATTGTATCAGTGGAACCTGCTGCCTCCATCTTCAGGGTACAAGACCTATACTGAAGGTGGAGACAGCAGATTTCTCCAGAATATTAGTGAATATCTAACCTGACCACATGTCATCACACCCCAGAAGGTGCTAATCTTCATAGTGACCACCATGATAACCTGAAATATCTCACGAACAATTGTAGGTTTGTATAGTGGTACATCAATTTGTTTAATGTCTCATATCTGCAGTTCAGTAACTCTCAAGTCACAGTATAAATTGCATAACATAATTTACTAGAGCAGTGAATAGGATTGCTTGACCTCAAATATTCATTATTTTGTACTGTTACATGTAACTTGATCCTTTTGATATATGTGGATAAATCATCAGCAGCTTGGCCGAGACATACGAATGTTTTATTCCTGAAGAGTTCTTAACTGCTGAAGGAAGGCTTAATTTAAATTGCTTTAATCAGCCATTTAAAAAAATTGAATTGAGATCAAAATCCAGGTCCATATTTTGCACAAGTAGGATCTCTGGAGCTACTGATTCCCCCCCATCTGTTGGAAGGCTTCTGAGATTGAAATTCTCCTATGTGAGTCTAACATTGGAAGCTTTGTGGCACCATCTTTACAAATTTACACTGCTTCTTGATTATTTGCTTTTTATATTATTTTGACATCTCTTCTATAGTTTGTGTATAGGAACAACAGATGGCAGGAACTTCATATTTGTTTAATGGCTTATATCCAGGTTGCTGTTGTTTTTTGTGTGTGTATTGTTCAGCTGTTGTAAGTGTTGGGAGTGAGACTGCAAGTAGAAAGGATGGATGAAGCACTTGTGCTGTTTACCCAAACCTCACTGCAATTTTTCTGGCCTTCACTCGTAATTGTGTTATAGGTGGGTGGTGGTTTTGTTCTGATTCAAGGCTCCTGTAAGGCATCCTGAACAGTTTGCTGAGCTCGGAATTTCTACTCCTTCAGGTGTACTGCTGTGCGGCCCACCAGGCTGTGGCAAGACACTTTTGGCGAAAGCTGTGGCTAATGAGGCGGGCATCAACTTCATTTCAGTCAAAGGCCCAGAACTTCTTAATATGGTAAATACACTTATTTTAACAAGTTATGTAAATTTTATTAACTGCATACAACAAAACCTCGTTAATTCACAATGCTTTTGACCAAATGCATTTCCAAGTGCTAAATTTCTGCCCATCTTTAGGTCAGTATTTCCTTCTGCCCGATGAAGTCATTGGATTTTTTCAATTGACCTAATCCTTCCAGCCGCACTAGGCCCTGGGGTTTACTCAGCCTCTAACAGGAATGAGTACCAGGAATTAATTAAATATTTTTCCTGGGGAGTAAAGTGCGGCTGGCGCGTAAGGCTGACAACCTTACCGCCATCTTTAAGCCGACTGTCTAGATAATGTGGGACCCTCAACGTCTCACAACCCTATGGGCCTTCACGGCCTGGTACAGGGATAGCTTTACTATTTTTTCACTTTTTACATTGGTACTCAGCTACCAGATTACATGGTGTCATAGCCAAGTAAGCAGAAAATTAGTCTTCACTACTATGAAAACCTCAAGTCTCAGAAGTGTTGTGTTTTTCATTTATTAGAGTTCCACAATATTCTGTAATATCTCTTGTTTTATGTTATTTCTAGTATGTTGGTGAGAGCGAAAAAGCAGTAAGACAGTGTTTTCAGCGAGCAAGGAATTCAGCACCATGTGTCATATTTTTTGATGAATTGGATGCACTTTGCCCAAAGAGATCAGATTCTGGAGAGGTAAAGTAATGTTTGCTGAAGTACAGGTATTCGCAGACTTTCATCATTTGTACTTACATGACACTAATGCAGATTCATATGACTTTATAGTGACCACTGTGATAACCTTCAATCTGGCATCTCAAATAGCTGTTTGACTATTAGCTTCCCAAGAAGGACTGTTTCATACAGGCAGCTAGCTTTAATAATGTAATATTTTATGAGTTTTAAGGATTTTAATATGCAGCAGTTAATGCCATATACTGACTTTCTCTTAGGGCGGTGTAAGCATGCGTGTTGTGAACCAGATGTTGACAGAGATGGATGGGATTGAAAGTCGGAAGGGGGTGTTTCTGATGGCTGCAAGCAATCGCCCAGAAATAGTTGATCCAGCAGTATTGAGGCCAGGAAGGCTGGACAAGCTCCTGTACATTGGCCTTCCATCTCCTCCTGACAGAGTGGACATCCTCACTGCGTTAACTAAGGTACTGTTTAGTAACGCATCCGAGCTGGGGTAGCTGTCAGTATAGCAGCTGAATTGGAGAAGTGAGAAATCAGGGTTCAGTTTCCTAGAGGGGAAAGAGATTCTTCTTCTCCACAGTGTTCAGACTGGCTCCAGGGCCCGTCAAGCCTGCTATCCAGTGGGTGCATAGAAATGAAGCTTATACTTTCCTCTGCTGCCAAGACTAAGAATGCATGGAGTTATACCCTCATTTCCCATACATTTTCATGGTGTGGTTCTTAATAAGCACAAGGTCAAGCTTACGTCTTTTGTACATTACTCTTCTTACATTTTCTTAGAATTTTGTTGTAGGTCTTATCTAATTGTATTGCATTATACCTTTTGAGTGTTATCGGCGAAATTTACTTTAAGGCTTTGGATGTTAGGAGTAACAGTTAATCTTTCAGTGCTGGGCGACATACATCGCACATCGGCACTTAAATGCCACATCTCGCCAGGCTATGTCATGCGTCTTGTGCTGCTTTTCATGTAAAGTAATACTTTTGCTATGAAATTAAAGAGGAAATTTCTGTCTTATCATTTTGTATATGTAACTCCCTGTCTAGGGTGCAGTATTGCCATACAAATCTATCTCCACCTCTTGTAGTAGTTAAGAACTAAATATACTAGTTTTATAGTCTGTGATCTCCTTGCGTGTTGGTGGAAGCAATGTCTGTGATCTCTCTGCGTGTTTGTCAAAGAAAAAATCGATTTCCATTCAGCCAGTGACGAGTGCTGCCTCTTGAAAGGAATGAGAAACCACGTGTAGAAAACCTAACAAGCAAGATACGTGACATTGATCTCTGATATGACTGCTGTTGGATATAATAAACAAATGCCTTGTTTGCATTCCTTGAGGTTCCCTTTGTTCCACATAGCTAATGCAGTTTGCATGTAGCAGCCATGGCTGGGATAAGCAAGAGAGTTCAGCTGTGTTGAGTGATGAGGACTTAGAGTGTTTACTTGAAAGTGATTCCGAACAGAGTCTGTCAGATTCGGATTTTGACACTGAAAATGAGTTAGATGATCATGCCTTGATTGAAGCTGTTGGAAATGAGGGCAGCATTGAATGTTTCCGCGACTACCACATACAGCTGAATTTTTAAGGTAATATGATACTGTTGTTCATAATTTTTATACGCTTACTGGCCCAAAAATAATTTTAAAGTAGTGTGGATCAATACTCTAATTCTATGTACTTCTCTGGACGTTGTGTGAAAATCTAAAAAAACAAAACTCCAGTTTTTCCCCGTTCATTATGCTTTAATTTAAGTGCTGCATTCTCCGAATTAATTATTTAAATAGCCACTGGCATTGGAGTGGAAAAACGATTTAAATACCCTGGGGCTGAAGGGTTAAAGATGCTGTCATGCCTCCAGCCACACTTATTCACCAGTTACACATCTGAGTAGATTTAAACTGATGCTTACCATGAAAATAAGATAGGATTGTTATGCGTGTTCTTTGTAAATTGACAAATGACTGAAGGCATTTAAATGAATTCAAGCCCAGGTCAGGTTATGTGGGATTTGTGGTGGACAAAGTGGCACTGGCAGGTTTTCTCCATGTACTTTGGTTTCGCCTGCCAATTCTCATTCCACCGACTGCTCCACACGCATCATCTGTCATCCGGGGCTGTTACAATAGGCCAGTTATCGGCCAACATAACCATTGGACTCGGTCTCACCCCTCCCCAAGAAACGAACTATTGAAAAAGGGTGTCTGCCTTAACCGTTAAGTGACGGCCCTTTAAATTGCAGTAATGGCAGCGGGACGGATTTGATTTAAATACCCGCAATTTTAAAGCAATAAAAACTGTAATAATTTCCTAAAATTGCTGTGATTTCTACATTTTTTGTGATAAACGAACCAAATAAACGCTGCTTTTTTCTAGAAAGAATATTGAATCAGATACTATAATTTACAGGCTTTATAAAATGTGTAAAAATTTTTAGACTGATTACAAGTATAAAATTCCCAAATTTGTCTGTCTACAAGAATTCATATAGTTCTTGGAACTAAGAATGCTCTATGCAGATGTGGCAACATAATGGATGGATATGCAGACATGTTTTGTCTTGCATGTCTCGAAGCTTATACACGTAGTACCTTCTTCAGGAATGCAGAGATGAGGGGCGAGTATCTCTTCGTTTATAAGAACATTGATTGTTTATACACAACAAGTTCTTTGTACTGACCCTGCTCGGTTAGTTTATCACAACTCTCAAGGCTATCGTCTTTATACCACAGCCAAGCAGTGTCATCAAGCTTCAAAGTTTCGCAGCGAGAACGGTGATATTGTCAGCTCACCATGGCGTGGTCTCGTTTGGAAGATTCAGACATTTTTCAGCTCATAAATGACTCCGAATCAGATTGTTTTACCGACAATTCTGAGAGTGGCGTTGAGGAAAGTGATTCAGAAATGGATTTCGACGAAGACCCATCATCTTCGTCAGCAACCTGGGGACCACCACACCAGCATGGCAAGAGGAGTGAATAATTATTCAGGTGGAGCTGTGGGCAAACTCTGGCAAACAGTTATAGCATCTGTCGTCGAACCTGGAAATGGACAAATAAACTATTTTTCCATCTCCTGGATCTGAACAGTTACATCCTGTTGTCACACAGAGAATTTCGTCTCGCTCTTGTGCGGAACATGCTGGAAGGGGTCCACCTCGCCATCAACGGCCCAGGGGTCGAACCCCTGCCGTTTCATCGGAGATATCTCAATTGGAGGAGGCCAAACGACATCACTGGCAAACTTCCTCTACTTCGCATTTGAGGTGTCGTGTGTTTTTCGGGTGGGAAACGAAAAACCGTCCGGACAAAGTGCGTGAAGTGTGACATTGGACTCTGGATTTCCGGATGTTTCCAAGATTTCCACACGAAGCCAACATTCCGTTAGATGACACAGGTGGGAAGAGAGACAACTTATAAAGATGGTGACCAAAAATCATGTAAGTAGAAAAAGAATTTATAACTTAAAATTAGATTTTAAAAAGACGGCTGCATGCGTGGAATGCGCGACGACATATGGTGTCATTCGTCCCCTTGACTTTATTTTAATGACGCCAAATGGCGTCGCTAGGCTCTTAAAGGTTAAAGATGGAGACAGTTGGTTCCATTGAAACTTCAGTACCCACTTACCAAACTACTTGATGTCACATTCCAAAAGACCATAATCTTGACAGTCAGTGCTGTGAGAACCAAAATCTCACCCAGACCACATACTGTCTGTACGTAAAACACACAGTGGCATATACATGGTGTAATATTGTCATTCCTTGTGCTCGTTATCAGTTATTCCTGCTGATTGATTGCAGAATGGGACAAGACCTGTTCTAGACACAGATGTTAATCTGAAGACCATTGGAGAGAGTACAGAATGCTCTGGCTACACCGGGGCAGATTTAGCAGCGCTGGTTCGAGAAGCTGGAATTGAAGCCTTGAGAGAAATCATGACTGGCTCCAGTACAACCAGCAAGTTAGTTGTTTCCAATAGACACTTCTTGAAAGCACTAAAGAAGACACGCCCTTCAGTTTCTGAGAAGGTATGTATTTACAGTTTGCATCACACTCTTGCAGACAAGAAAATAAATGAAGAAATTAAGAGGTAACTACAAATCCTACAAGTAACATAATTTATAGAACAACACAGAAGAAACTGGAAACATCACATTAACAGGATGGTCTGTGACAGGATTCCAAAAAGGATTTTAATGTCATCCAACAGGAAAAGTAAATTACGGAAGATCCATGAAATGGTGGAAGGATTATATTTTATAATATTTGTAACACATTTCAGTAGGTCCTAATGCTGGATAGGTTGATGAATTGATTAATTTTAGGATTTGTTGAGTGAACGAATAAAATGTTTTTTTTTTTTTTTTTTTTTTTTTTTGTTACAGGATGAGCGGCATTATGAGAAGCTGCGGAAACTGTGCTCATTATTACAGGGTTCAGATGAATGAACATGTTGACACAATGAAATTGAAAAGGGTTTGGTCAGGAAACTTACATAAACGTAATGGACTTGTAATAATGTGTAGTTACTGATAGACTGGACCTCAGAGGTAGTGTTCTGGACCTTACTTTGCACACATTTATTTAACTCTAAATTATTTATTTCTGAAACTTTTTTCAAATTTGTTATTTCTCACCTATTCTGTTTTGAATACCTTCTGACTTCTTTGGAAATTCTCTGTACTAAGTAGTTATATGTTTCACCAATGGACTGCATGACATGCTGATACCTGAACCTTTATGCAGTCCTAGTTTCTTCCATCAAAATGCATGTTTAGAGCATAAAGATCCCTCAGGTTTATACAGGAAGTGGAACAGAAATTATAGAAGATTTATTGCCATGCATCTTACTGCTCCTCTGAAAGATTGTAGACCTAATACAGTACTTTATTTAAAAAGCCATTTTCATCTATATTGCTTTTAAACATATATTGATGTTTTAATATTTGGTCTTATTCATAAATATTTCCAAGGATCTTCATTATTTTCAATAAGGGTAACGGGTTTTTTTATGCTAATGGGGTGGGTCCAAGTCCCTTGTACTGCGGCCACTTCTGGCCTATTGTACCAGCCCCAGATGCTAGGTGAGGGTGATTGTGAAGCAATTGGTGGAATGAAGATTGGCAGGGGAAACCGAAGTACTCGGAGAAAACCTGCCCCAGCACCACTTTGTCCACCACATATCCCACTTGACCAGACCCGGAATTGAACCTGGGCCGCCGCAATGGGAAGCAAGCAACTAACCGCTTGAGCTGTGGCGCCGCCTAAGGGTAATGTTAGAATGAATTTTTAAAGAAAAGAGACCTATAGGAAGACCCAGAACAAGATGGTTCAGCCAGGTATTGGAAGACAGCATAGGGAATGAACTTGGAAAAAAAATTTAAAAGTAATGATTTGGGGAAGACAGAAGAGATTGGATACTTTTTGCCTGTCAGTCCACACAGAAAAAGGAGTGGAGTAGAAGAGGAAATGTTCTTATTCAAGGAACTAGGCCATTAAGAACTAGCACATGCAAGAGATAGTAAATAGGTTGCAAATGGATATAAAGCATGAAACATGAGATTTGAAGCTGGGAAAAACATTTATTTCTCCACATATCCTCCACAAACATGATCCACTTGTCCCATCACTTTACCAGTGCATCGAAACCCACAGCATAGAAATCTTTTTGACTGTTTTCTCAGCCACTTCTGCACCTATGTTTCAGCCTCTTTGTCGTCAGTGAAACATTTGTCACTGATGTGGTTTTTTAGCGGACCAAACAGAGGGAAGTCATTAGGAGCCAGGTTCAGGTTGTAAGGCAGATGTTCACAAAGTTCCCATCGTAGTTCTTGAATTCTCTTTTGGGTTCATTTTTACTTGATCTTTCAGTTCTCAGGGCACCCACCATGCACACATTTTTCAAAACTTTAAGCAATCATACAATATGCTGTATGCTAAACGATGTGAACACCCTAGTGCAGTTGCTACACTGTTGTTATCCTCCTGTCAGCTGAAATCAACTCTTCCACTCACTGCACAGTTGCTTCTGTCGCAATCTCAACAGGGCGACCTGGTTTGACATTATCTGTGACTTTTGAACACCCTTGAGAGAATTTCTCAACCCACTTGTGAACCGCTTTGTGTGACAGCCACTTCCCACCATAAACAGGAAACAATTCTGTATGAATATCCATTGTATTTAGTCCCTTAGATCATGTTCACCATTTTGACTACTGAACCCAGCCTCTGAACATGTGCTGTCATGAAACTGGACTATGCTGCTACCTAGTGATACACACATAAAACTTATTGCATCCATTACAGCTGTTTTACTTCATTTTGTGTCAGATTTACTGATTGTCCCTTATTTATATTTTATAAATACAGTGAAATGAAATGATAGAATAATAATTTTTTATTTTAACCCTTTTCAGTCCGTTTGGTACACGCTAAACACAGATTGAAAATAAGTCGATTTATATAGCTGATAGTTTTCTTAATTTTTTTAATTTGTCTGTGTGAAACACTTGGAGTTAATTCAAGGCACATTTTTATACTGTCCATTTGAAAACATGAATTAAGTCAAATCTGGTATTTTATATTTCTAAAGGTTTACTTGATGTTTTCTTCTGCCTCTGCCTCTGCCCCCCCATCTTTTCTGCTTACAGATCCAGAAGCCAGTTCTTGCGGTTCAATTATGGTATGCTATTTAATGTAACATTCAGAGCATTCTCTGGCAAATGACGACAAAAGAAAGTTATCAGTAATCGTTTTAAGAAAGTAAATTAATGAGTTAAGAAACACACAATGTTTCTGGGTACATACAAACTCGGACACATTACTGTGTAACACAGAAATGGTTCTCTAATGATTTCTGAGGGTGGTTGATTCATTATATGAATATTGTATAATCGAGATTACATTTTTTTAATGGGCCTGCCTGAGTAGGATCCCCTTTCCCCTTACACCTGTTAATCAAAATGGACCCAATTTCCAAACCATGTGTATCAAACATACCTTGGACAGTGGACTGTGTGAGTCATAATATTGTCATTCGTATTAGTGACTATAGATGGGTTTTTGGTTTAGATGATAGGATTTATTGCACCTTATACATTCACACAGTTTGGGACTACAGGTAATACAGCACTATCGCTGATCTGCACACTGCACAGTTCACCGTTACACATGCACTAGAATTCCCAGTCTTTGCTAGCCGTATCCTGGCAATGGATTTATCATAGCCTCACTGTAATTTCAAATCACGCATGAAGTCTTCTTGACATAATCTAATTCATTTCTTGCCATTTCTGCAGCTGTCGATTCCGAAGACTCAACTCAACTACTCTCGACTACTGTTCTGTGTTCCGTTGTGTCTTTTGATTCTGCCCTTCTCTAACCCCTTGACACAGACCCCATGGAAAGCACCATCTTCTCTTGGTAAGGGTGTGTGTTTACTGCTCCGTTACCTAGCAGTGGGTATAAACGTCACAATATTAATATAATGTAAGTCTTTTGGAAATGAATATTATGGTGAAATGGAGCCAATATAGAATATAATAATGATATGTTTTCTTTTCAAGAATGTAAATATTGTGTCTTCCATATTGTTGACAACTGGAGTTTTGTGTATGAGCAGATAGGCGTAACCATGCTTTAGAGCTCTGTTTGAAAGGTATTTCAGCTTGAATACTTGTCTAGGTTACCAGCTGTACCTGTTGAGATTTTATGTAGTTGTGTCCTGGTCTCTCTATCAATGACACAATTGTAGGGCTTCTTGAAATAAGTCTGCCTCCTTCAAGTTAATTATTCAGTCACCATGTACGATGAACATTTTATTCATATAATTTAAAAAATACTTAATTATTTAGATTATTTAAAGTGAATGTCACAGTTCAGTCGGTAGTGCTTCTGATTTATATTTTGGTGTTTCCAGATTCATGTCTCGGTCTGTAAACCTGTAATCATAAGTGATATTTGTTATGATTTTCCTCATTCTCTCCAAGCAAATGCCAGGATAATATCACAAATTAAACCATGACCACTTCTTTACACATCCTTTCAAATCCATTATTCACTAATTGTCTGTTTTATGTTGTGACTGAGTGGGTAGCAGTCCTGCTTCATATATAGGAGATTTGGGGTTCATATCTGCCCCAGAGACTGGCTGTTGCGACTGATATTTTTCATTGTTTTACTCAGTCCTTCCGGGTTACCTCAAATTAGGTTATGATCACTTATTTACACGTCTTCAAAGTCATTATTCTCCAATTGTCATGTCATTTAACACTTTGCGGACCGCGCAGCCTTTAAAAGGTTTTTTGCTTTTAAACATGGCGGACCGTTCGCCTGTTAACAGGTTTTTAAAACACGATAAGTTGCAGCACACTATACATCTCTCTGGCACCACCCAAGTTGCATGCAGTGGTGTAATAAAACTCTGGAATATTCACTTACTTGTCAGTAAGTTGATCTTGCTGTTTTCTTAAGCCACTATGAGCGATAATGCTTTGTTGCTCTTCAAGCTGTATGTATCAGCCAGTAGTTAGAGTTGGGGTATGGACAAGGACAAATTCTTTTCCGATGAGCCAGCTGACCTGCCTTGTGAGATGCGTAGTTACAATGTTTGAGAGAGCAACAGTGACAGGGGAGACAGTAAAAGTGACCGTAGCTCCGACGATAATGGGGGTAATAACATTGTGGGGACAGTAAAAAATTTAAAAAATCACAAAAATCTAAACCCTGATTCAAAATTGAAATACAAAGCATTTCTGATGAATGTGGCAAAGCCCTGGGCTACGGACCAGATGGTGGCAGCAGAACCAGAGTCAGACACAGACTTAGTGCGACCGTGCCCATCCGATCCCACCCCACGCAAGCCTCATGTGGATCCCACAGGGCGACTTGGGTGATATGTGGAAACATACCCAGGTGAAAATTGTGAAGAGTGAACATTCCAAGGGGAAGCATCTTTTTAGGCAATGCCATGTTTCCACAGTTCACAAAAAAAGAGCATGTCTACATTTGCAAGTTCTCTGTAATGCCACTTCACAAAGGGGAATGTTACCAGAAATATCACACTCTCAAGCACTTCTAGGAGCATTGGAAAGTGTTCTCCAAAAAATTTAGTTCATAAAATTAATTAGGAAATTTTATATTAATTTTTAAAGTGAACAGTGCACAAATTAGGTAGTAGGTTTAAAAATGCCGGTCCCCAGGGTGATTTAAATATTTAAATCACCGGTCCGCAAAGTGTTAATGATTTGTGGTGTGAGTTACACACAGCAACATTAGAAACATAAATGCAATAAATAAATTACAGTAGTATATAACGTAGTCAGACATAGTCATTAAACTTCAAAGTTTGGTGGTAGGGCTGAAGTGTTTTGATGTGTAAATTTTTTCTGGTAATTATACAATAATTTAAGTAGTAATGTACTGTGCATCATATTAGTATGTCTATATATAAAGTGACTGTAGGTTAATTAACATTTTCACATGCAGAAACTCTGCTGATGTCTCACTTGTCAGCCATTTTCCACAGTACACTACTAGTTTGCAGTATTTCACTGTAAAGAAATTAATTTAAAATAATTTATACATATCCACAGATAGATATGTGTACCTTCTGGTAACACAGGAAACAAGTATGTGTTTGAAGTGCATTCTGAAGGAGAAATATTTTCTCTGGTCACGGTATGTTACTGCCTGACCTTGGTTATGTATTTTTCGAATGAATAAATCACTGGTAAAAGACCACCTTTATATACAGGAGCAAAAGTGTTGTTACCCCTGAACATGTTGATTTCTTACCTACAGTGGCACATCCGAGTTTCAGATGTTTTAATTTTCTAAGTTGTAAATATTATATTCTGCTTGAAACTTTAGTAACTCAACCACCCTTATTAAACCAGAACAGTAACATTTCTGTCTCACTAACCAC